CAAAAGAACCATAAATTAAGGATTGTATAAAAATTTAGCACATGACATGATTTTTCTCATCAATTTCTCTTTTTATATATAAATAGATATAGAATGGATTTCTAATGCAACATGACTAAATAGAAGTACAGATTAATGACATGTTATTAATCAAATTCGAATGATATAACATAAAAGGGGGGTTATTACTACACTTTAAATAGTTAATATCATATCATTTTAATGTAATTGTTTATTATATCTTTATATTTTATTTTTCTCTAAATTTTATATTTTTGTTTTTCAATAAATTAAAAGGTATAATAGTCAATGAAAATAAAAAAGTATGGCATTAATAATTAATGGCGTAATAATGGCATCACCCCATAAGAGAGAGAGAAAAAAAGACTTTTTTATGCTCAGCTTTGTGCTAACATTGTTGATTTTTCATGCCTAACTCTCTCCACATGAGTTGCTCTAATATTATTGGGAAAAAAAAAAAAGTGAAACTTCACACTTTCTTTAATTTTACAAATATCATATTATCACTATTCAAATTTTATGAAATAGTATTAATAAAACTTGAAAGATATCAGTGTTATCAATAGCGAATAGTAGCAAATAGCGGAAAGGCCAAAATCCACTATGATAGCGTAACGGGTAGCGTAGTGGCTGCTATAGACAAATAGTGGGCATTTAATAAAAAAATATAAATATAAATCTAATAGGCAAAATACCCAAATCCACCCCCAAAGTATAGTGGCAGGGACGGATCCACCCTCGAACAAAAAACGGGGACAAATCCACCCACAAAATTTTCGACTTGGACAAATCACCCCAAATTTAACGTGTGACGTCATTTGACATCAGCAATTCGTTAATTCGTTAACGGATTGCTGACGTCAGATGACGTCAAATTAACAGATTACTGATGTCAAATGACGTCACACGTTAAATTTGGGGTGATTTGTCCAAGTCAAAAACTTTGTGGGTGGATTTGTCCCCGTTTTTTGTTCGAGGGTGGATCCGTCCCTGCCACTATACTTTGAGGGTGGATTTGGGTATTCTGCCAATCTAATAATTAAAGTAAGAGACAAATCTAATAATAAAAGGCATAAAATGACCTAAGAGTTTATAAAAATTATCAAAAATTATTAAAAGAAATATTCTCAAGTCTCAACAAATAAAAATCATAATTTAGAATTATCAAACAAGACAATAAAATACTTAAAGAGTATAAAAGTCAAACAAGATCAGTTCAGAAAAAAGTCAGATAATAGAACTTTAAAACAGAAAATCATTCAAGAGTCTAATAATCCTCATCACTCTCTTCTACTTCTAATTCTTCTTGCTCAGCCACCAAATCATCATCATCCTTTTCTTTCTGACTTGTTCCACCAGGCTCAAACTCCTCTTCTTCCTCCTCTAACTTTTCAAGATCTAAAGTATGAGCCTCTTCACTAATTCTAGTAGCATAAACTACATCAACAGTAGAGGTTGTGGCTGGAGTTCTAAAGGTTAGTGTTGGAATTTGAGAGGTCAAGGCTGCAATTGCATTTCTTTTTGCTTGTCCCCTAGTATAAGTTCTAATTTCCCTTGCCCCTAGTATAATTGTAATTTAAACTTGCTAGTTGCTTCAATACAAAAAAAAAAAAGAAAAGAAAAAGAGGCACAATTGCAGAAGCAAAACCAAGCAAAGAAAAAAAATAATTGTCACATGCTTTTGTGTCTTACTTTCTATTTCTAATTCCAACCTTTTGTTTTGGTGTCAAAAAAAAAAAAAAGAAAAAAGAAAAAAGAGGGAGACGAGCAGAACCAAAGCCAAAAAATTTGGTGTCAAAAAAAAAAAGAAAAAGAAAAAAGAGAGAGACGACACTTGCAGAAGCA